TCTGGTATCTTCTTTGATTTCTTTCTTCAAAGACACAAAGTTCTTGATATACAGGTCTTTCACTTCCTTGGTTAACATTATCCCCAGATATTTGATGCTGTTTTTGGCTATTGTAAAAGGTGATGTTTCTCTGATTTCTTTCTCAGTCACTTCATCATCTGTATATAATAGGGCCACTGATTTTTTTGAGTTGTATCCTGCCACATTGCTGAAGGTGTTTATCAGCTCTAGGAGTAACCTTGCGGAGTTTTTTGGGTCACTTATGTAAACTATCATATCATCTGCAAATAGTGAAAGTTTGACTTCTTCTTTTCCTGTTTGTATCCCCTTTATCTCCTTTTGTTGTCTTATTGCTGTAGCTAGAACTTCAAGTACAATATTGAAGAGATATGGAGAGAGTGGACAGCCTTGTCTTGTTCCTGATTTTAGAGGAATTGCTTTGAGTTTCTCTCCATTTAGTTCGATGTTAGCTGTTGGTTTACTGTATATTGCTTTTATTATATTCAGGTACGTTCCTGTTATCCCTGATCTCTCTAGGACCTTTATCATGAAGGGGTGCTGGATTTTGTCAAAGGCTTTTTCAGCATCTAGTGAGATGATCATGTGGTTTTTCTTCCGCAGTTTGTTAATATGGTGGATTACATTGATAGATTTTCTAATGTTGAACCATCCCTGCATTCCTGGGATGAAGCCTACTTGATCATGGTGGATGATTTTTCTGATGTGTTCTTGAATCCGGTTTGCGAGTATTTTATTGAGTATTTTTGCATCGATGTTCATGAGGGAAATTGGTCTATAGTTTTCTTAGTTGTGTCTTTGTGTGGCTTGGGTATCAAGGTAATTGTAGCCTCGTAAAAAGAGTTTGGCAGTGCTTCTGTTGTGTGGAATACTTTGAGGAGTATTGGAATGAGCTCTTCTTTGAATTTCTGGTAGAATTCTGCACTGAAGCCATCTGGGCCTGGGGTTTTTTTGTTTGGGAGACTTTTGATGACTGCTTCTATTTCATTAGGGGTTGTAGGTCTGTTTAGATTGTTTATCTGCTCTTGATTTAGTTTTGGCAAGTGATATCTATCCAGGAAATTGTCCATTTCCTTTAAATTTTCAAATTTTGTGGAGTACAGATTTTCAAAGTATGCCCTGATGATTCTCTGGATTTCCTCAGAGTCAGATGTTATGTCCCCTTTGTCATCCCTGATTTTGTTAATTATCATGCTCTCTCTCTGTCTTTTGGTTAGTTTGGACAGAGGTTTGTCTATTTTGTTGATTTTCTCAAAGAACCAACTCTTTGTTTCATTGATTCTTCTCAGTGTTTTCCTGGTTTCTATGTGATTGATTCCCGCCCTCAATTTGATTATTTCCTGGCGTCTGCTCCTCCTGGGTGAGTTTGCTTCTTTTTGTTCTAGAACATTCAGCTGTGCTATTAATTCTCTAGTATGACTGTTCTCCAGTTTTTTCATGTGGGCACTTAGTGCTATAAACTTTCCTCTCAGCACTGCTTTCAAAGTGTCCCATTAGTTTGTGTATGTTGTGTCTTCGTTCTCATTGAAATCGAGGAAGTCTTTAATTTCTTTTTTTATTTCTTCCTTTACCCAGGGATGGTGCAATTGTGCATTGTTCAATCTCCATGAGTTTGTAGGGTTTCTGCGATTTGTGTTATTGTTGAATTCTAATGTTAATGCATGGTGGTCTGATAAGATACAGGGGGTTATTCCAATTTTTTTGTATCTGTGGAGATTTGCTATGTTTCCTATTATGTGGTCAATTTTAGAGAGGGTTCCATGTGGTGCCGAGAAGAAGGTATATCCCTTTGTATTTGGGTGGAGTGTTCTATAGATGTCTGTTAAACCTAGTTGGGTCATAACTTCTATTAATTCTTTTGTTTCTTTGTTAAGTTTCTGTCTGGAGGTCCTGTCTAGCGGTGAGAGCGGAGTGTTGAAGTCTCCTACTATTAGTGTGTGAGATTTTATATGCATTTTGAGCTTTAGTAATGTTTCTTTCACGAATGTAGGTGCCTTTGTATTTGGGGCGTAGATGTTTAAAATTGAGACTTTATCTTGATGTACTTTTCCTTTGATGAAAATGAAGTGTCCTTCTTCATCTCTTTTGATTGATTTTAATTTGAAGTCTAATTTGTTAGATATTAGGATTGTTACACCCGCTTGTTTCTTGGGACCGTTTGATTGGAAGATCTTTTCCCAACCCTTTCCTCTGAGATAACGTCTGTCTTTGATGTTGACATGTGTTTCTTGTATGCAGCAGAAGGAAGGGTTCTGTCTTCCTATCCATTCTGCTAGTCTGCGTCTTTTTATAGGCAAATTGAGGCCGTTGACATTGAGGGATATCAATGACCATCGATTGATGATTCTTGTTTGTGCTTGATTTATTGTTAGTGAAGTGATTTTGTGTAGTTTCTCCTCCCTTTTTCTTTTGGTGTTTTGTAAAGTGGGATTATATATTGCCTGTGTCTTTGTGAATGTAGTTATCTTCCTTGGATCTAGGTTTTCCTTCTAGCATTTTCTGTAGAGCTGGATTCATGGATACGTATTGTTTAAACCTGGCTTTGTCATGGCATATTTTGTTTTCTCCATTTATGGTAATTGAGAGCTTTGCTGGATATAGTAGTCTGGGTTGGCATCCTTGTTCCCTTAGTGTTTGTAGGACATCTGTCCAGGATCTTCTGGCTTTCATCGTTTCCATTGAGAAGTCAGGTGTAATTTGGATAGGTCTGCCTTTGTATGTTACTTGGCCTTTTTCTTTAGCTGCTCTTAATATTTTCTCTTTACTCTGTAGGTTTGATGTTTTGATTATTATATGGCGAGGTGACTTCTTTTTCTGGTCCAGCCTGTTTGGTGTTCTGTAAGATTCTTGTATTTCATAGGCATATCTTTCTTTAGGTTAGGGAAGTTTTCTTCTATGATTTTGTTGGATATGTTTTCTGTACCTTTGAGTTGTATTTCTTCACCTTGTTCTATACCTATTATTCTCAGGTTTGGCTTCTTCACGGTGTCCCATATTTCCTGAATATTTTGTGTTAAGGATTTGTTGGTTTTGAGATTTTCTTTGGTTGACGACTCTATATCCTCTAATGAGTCTTCAACACCTGAGATTCTCTCTTCTATCTCTTGTATTCTATTGGTGATACTTGCATCTGTAGTTCCTGATCGTTTACCCAGCTTTTCTATTTCCAGCATCCCTTCATTCTGTGTTTTCTTTATCGTTTCTATTTCAGCTTTCAATCCTTCAACTGTTTGAGTTGTTTACTTCATTTTTTTTTGTTGTTTTTTCTTGGTGCTCTTTAGATTCTTTGAGAGATTTGTTTATTTCTTGAATTTTCCCCCCCATTTCATGGATTTTTTGTTTGTTTTTTCTTCTATTTCTTTAAGGGGTTTCCTCGTTTCTTCTTTGAGGGTCTCCATCATCTTCATGAAATAATTTTTAAGGTCTGTCTCCTCTTCTTTGTCTATGTAGTGCTTTTCGGGTCTTGCTGGTGTTGGATCCCTAGATTCTGGTGGGGTCATGTTGGTGTTTCTATTGCTGAGTGAGCTCTTTTTTTTTTTTTTTCCGAGACAGGGTTTCTCTGTGGTTTTGGAGGCTGTCCTGGAACTCGCTTGGTAGTCCAGGCTGGTCTCGAACTCAAGAGATCCGCCTGCCTCTGCCTCCCGAGTGCTGGGATTAAAGGCGTGCGCCACCAACGCCCGGCTGCTGAGTGAGCTCTTATTCTGTCTTCTTCCCATCTCTTCTTCGAGTGGGTGCTGGTGGGGTCTTTCCGTCTCCACTGGTCTCCTTCCTTCCTGCAGCTGAAGCTGGGGATGCTCACATGGAGTTTGGGGCCTGGAAGGGCTGATGTCTTTCTTGAAGCTGGGCTCGCTGGTGTTTGGGGCCTGGAAGGGCTGATGTCTTTCCTGAAGCTGGACTCGCTGGGGTTTGGGTCTTGGAAGGGCTGATGTCTTTCCTGTTTGGGTGGGTCTTCTGGATGCCAGGAGAGGCCCCGGAAGATCAAGGGGATGGGTGTTGGGCGGGGGGGGGGTCCCCTCAGGAGACCCAGTCTCACCTGATGCTGGACTCACTGGGGTTGGGGTCTTGGAAGGACAAGTGACACAATGTTTAAATTTAACCAGAGCCCCTGTGTAATTGTAATTTGAATCAGAGATTGAGTATCTCATGCTATATTGCTAATTGGTTCAAAATTAAATGAGCATATTACATTTTCCTCTTGTCTTCTTTCCTATACTTTTTCCTTGAGTCAGTGTCTTATTTAACCCTGAGTTCCAGAGGTCCAGTAATCTTCTCTAAGCTTTCTTTTTACACCTAAGATTACAGCTTACATTACATGTGCCAGGGCTCTTTTTTTTTTTTTATTTTTAAAAAATTGAGACAGAGCCTCATTATTTGGCTCCTGAGCTTACTATACTCACCAGCCTGGCATCAAATTTTCAGTTCTCTTGCTTTTGCCTCCCATATGCTTGGATTACAAGTGTGAGCTACCATGCCTGGTTCCCTGCTGCTTTAAAATCACCAAGTAATGTAATGCTAGAGCATTGTGTTATAAGACTTACATTTGCTCTACCAGACTTTAAAGTCTAATCCAGTCTGATATTTTGCAAATTAAACACAATTGGAGGGCTAGTGGGATGGATCAGTGACTTGAATTCCATTGATAAGTTCATTGTAGTTGAAAGCATAGTGTGTGTGTGTGTGTGTGTGTGTGTGTGTGTGTGTTTGTTTGTGTAGGTACATGCACGCCATAGTGTAAGGGTAGGCTAGCAAACAGCTTTCTGAAGTCTGGTCTCTATAATGAGGGTCTTGGGCATCCAAACACTGGGCATCAGGCTTTACAGCAAGTACCTTCACCCGCTGAGGTGTCTCATTGCCATCACTGTTTATTTTTTATTTTGAGACAACTACAAATAGGAGTACAGTTTTTACCTCCTACTACATTTTAATTTCTTTACCTTTTCTGTCCTCAAGCTGAAATTTGTTTTTTGTCTGTAAAATTTCAGAACAGGAAAATGCTTTAAAAAACCCAAACATTTAATATATCAGCAAGATTTCTGAGAGGACATATTTCCTGAGACATGGAAATGGTAAGTTAACAAAGGATCCCTTTCTTTCTGTGTGTTGTCACTGAGCTACACTGTCAGCTCCCAATGTTCCTTTCTTTTTTCCTTTGCTTTTTCACGATGTAGCTAGTCTGGAACTTGCTGTGTAGACAAGATTAGCTTTGAACTCACAGATCTCTGTCTCTGCATCCCAAGTGCTATAAAGATGTGAATCACTAGAATATATATAATCTTAAGACAGGGTTTCTCTGCATAGCCCTGGCTGTCCTGGAACTTTTTCTGTAGACCAGACTGGCTTTGAACTCAGAGATCTTCCTGCTTCTGCCTCCTGAGTGCTGGGATTAAAGATATGAACCATTAGGATACTTTTTATTTTGTATTTTTATTTAGTCACACAGGAGACTAAAAATTCCAGTGTAGAGAATCAAGACATGGAAAGTCACTTGAGAAATGAAATGCATACAAGATGGAATGATGTTTCTAAAGATGGACTGTAATAATGAAAAATATAGAGGTTATCTAAAAATAGCATGGGTTTTATTAGTATCTTTCCAAAAGATGTGGTAATTGGATCAATAGAAAACACACTTCCTTGTGAGTAGAGTTGTCCCCACAGCTCATTAGAACAACAATGACAACAAAGAAAATGTCAAAACTTAGTTGGATTTTCCTGGGAAGGTGTATCTCAAACTGGTGAAAGATTACTCTCTAAATTACCAAAGTTAACTTTTCTGGTACTGAGAACCTCATTTATTTTTCTAAGTGTTATAGCAGATGATAAGGAAGATTTGGTATCTTTTTCTAAGAATGCATTAATACATCATTAACAAATTTTCATTTTAGGTTTTAATTTTATGAGTATGAGTGTTTTGCCTGTATGTATATATGCATACCATGTATATGCCTGCTGCCTATGGAAGCCGAAAGAAAAAGGTGGATCCTCTAGAACTGGAGTTACAGATAGTTGTGAACTACAATGTGTATGCTAGGAACCAAATCCAGGTCTGTAAAAGCAACAAGTACTCTTAGCTGATAAGCCTTCTCTTGTGTCATCTTTAGCAAGCCTTTGTAGTGTGCTTGTGAGCATCTACAGTATAGATCAACACGCTGAGAAGAGCTCCCTGTGTAAGTTGTAGAAGTGCAACTTTAACTGGATGGTGATGGTGTACACTTTTAATCCCAGCACTTGGGAGGCAGAGACAGGTAGATCTCAGTGAGTTTGAGTCCAACCTGGTCTACAAAGTGAGTTCCAGGACAGCCAGAACTGTTACACAGAGAAATCCTGTCTCGAACCCCCCCCCCAAAAAAAAGAGAGAACTGTGACTTTATGAGTAAACAGTTCCAAAAGTCAGATGATTGCTTATATGAGGTCCTCAGAAAGTGGATAGATGTCTTAGTACCACTGAGCTCTGGAGTACACTATGGGGAACCTTAGACTCCTTTACATTCTCCAGTGAACATAGGTGATGTCACTTTGCTCAAATTGGCATGCATGTGATGATTTAGGACTCAGTGACGTTTGAGGATGTGGCTGTGTACTTTACCAAAGAAGAGTGGAATTTACTGAATGGATTTCAGAGAAACCTCTACAGAGATGTGATGTTGGAGAACTATCAGAACCTGGCCACAGTAGGTAAGAGTGTCATTATCTTCTGTAGGCTCTTAAGGAAGAACCATGCATTTTTCAAGATTGATGTTGTAATTGTGAATATAATGGGAAACAATAGAGACATTGTCATTGCCCTAGCATATTTTAATCTGTTATTGGCAGTTTTCAACAAATGCTTTTAGGATTAGTAAGTGACATCACTCTCATTTCATTAGAAATGTACAACTTTATACTCTGTCTTTGATATACTGAATCAGAAAAATCATTATTTGTGTTCCTGTCACCTGTTTTCACTATGTTTCTATGTGAATGTTTCATTCTGAAGGTAACAACTAGCTGAGCATGATAGTACACACTTATAATTCCAGCATGCAGAAAGTTGAGGCAGGAGGATTGCTACAAACTCAAGACCAGCATGAGCTATATAACAAGTACAAGGCCAGTCATGGCTGCAGAGCAAGACAATGTCTCAATATAATCAAAACAAACAAAAAACTAAACAACTATTGGTATAGTCATTTCCCGTGAGACTTAAGATCTCTCTCCATTTCTGTTACATCCAATTTGAAGAAAAATCTCAGTAATGTTTACATCTATTTTTTTTTTTCAAGATAGGGTTTCTCTGCGTAGCTCTGAATGTTTTGGAACTTACTCTGTAGACTAGGCTGGCCTCAAACTCGCCCCTGAGTGCTGGGATTAAATGTGCTTGCTATCCCTGCCTGGCTTTACTCCATATTTAGGCCTGAATGTAATATCAAGAGTCAAACATATTCCAAATAATGAATATTTGCCTCTTGAACTATCTGAGAATTGGAGAGATGACTAGGTGATTAAGATCACTTGCTGTTTTTGTAGATGATCCGTATTCAGATTCCAGCATCTACATGGCAACTCATAACTGTCTGTAACTTCAGTCTCAGAGGATCTGACACCCTCTTCTGGCCTCCTTGGGCACCTGTACACATATGGTATACACACATACATATAGGCAAATATTCACACGTATAAATTAAAAATAGATCTTTATAAAGAAGGTTCTAGGGGATGGGGATGTAGCAGTATGGGTGGAGTGATTGTCTAACATACCCAAAGGGTTCAGTTTCCAGTACTGCATAAAACTATGCATGGTGTTACATGCCTGTAAATCAGTACCTGGGAGACGTTCAAGGTCTCTCTTGGTTACGCAGTGAGTTCAAGGCATGCCTGGGCTATCTGACCCTATCTCAAAAAAGATAGTAATTGTCATTAGTCTAATGGAAATTTCATTAGAAATCTAATTGCTCTTTTATGTGAAGGTTTGTCATCTCTTTTGTGAGCCTTTGTCATTGATATATTATTTCCCGTGTATAATTGCTCAGCTTGTCAAACCCAGCTTGATCTCATGGTTAGAGGAAGTTAACTATAGTGTAACAAGGCAGTCTCCAGGATGAGCATTGTTATTTACCGTGCTTGAGAACAGATTACAAGATATACAACAAAACTCGCTTTAAGAGTTTTATTAGTAAAGAGTAGGGAGAGGGGGCCTGTCTGGAAGAAACGTGGAGAGAGAGCAAGTGGGTCGGGAGTGTCTACTTTTAGAGGTCACTTAGCTCATGCACATGGGGGCTTACGTAGTCACGCCACACAAACTCACGGATTTCATGGCGATGCTGCATAAGACTCTGGGATGATGGCATTTTGCCTGAGTGCTGATGGCACATGCACAGCCAGCCCTGGAAATGCTAACACCTGGGATAACTGAGCATTTTGCCTAAATTCTACTAACAGCCACGTAGGTGGCTGTGGGACCCCAGAAATGACAACAAGCATGGGCTGAAATAATTTCTTATTGACAAGTTCAGCATGTTTTGAAGTATGAGGAAGTTTTTTTGGAAATGAATGTTTTGCCTACATACATATCTTTGTACCATGTGTGCAGTGCCTGTGGAGCCCTGGGACTGAAGTTACAGACAGTTTTGAGTTGTCATGTGTGGGTGGGAATCAAACCTAGGTCTTGTGCTGTAACTGCTAATCCATCTCTCTAGCCACAGGAAATTTTTTCATATGTGGATACATTTTATTTTGAGCAAATCCATTCTCAATGCCAGCACTGAAAAAAACGTTTTGAAAAACCAACTTGAGAGTTGATGAGATTGCTCAACAGGCAAGGAAACTTGCTACCAGACCTGAGTACCTGAGTTTGATCCCCTGAACCCATATGGTGCAAGTCTGTATTCATGTGTACACATGCACATGTACAAATGCATACAAAATAAGTAAATAAATGTAAAAACAAAAGGCCAATTGAGTCTGAACCCTGAAGTATTTGGACTGCAGGTTTTGAGATCTTTGCAGCATCTCTTAGTATTATTTGCTTTATTCACATTACTTTCTTTAAAATAAAAAAAATATTTAAAAATTTTATTTGATGTGTATGGGTATTTTGCCTTTATGTCAGTCTGTTTGCCACTTATATGCTTGATACCTACAGAAGGCAAAAGAGGGCATTAGATCCCCCAGAAGTGAAGTTGCAGATAGTTGTGAGTCATTGTGTGGATCTTGGGAACTAAAACTTAGTCTTCTGAAAAAGTGGCAAGTCCTCCTAACCACTGACCCATCCCTCCAACCCTATACCCAGGCTTATATATATATATATTTTTTTTTTAAAGATTTATTTCTTTATTATGTATACAGTGTTCTGTCTGCATGTATCCTACAGGCCAGAAGAGGGCACCAGATCTCATTACAGATGGTTGTGAGCCACCATGTGGTTGCTGGGGATTGAACTCAGGTCCTCTGGAAGAGCAGCCAGTGCTCTTAACCTCTGAGCCATCTCTTCAGCCCCCAGGCTTATATTTTAAACAATGATCTTTTCAACTTTGAGTTTATAATTCTATTTTTTGCAGTTGTATACTACTTTCTTCCTCAAAGTATTTTATTTTTTGTCTACCGTCACATGTAGTTTCATACCCAAAAAATAATTGTTTTGGGGCCACTGAGATGCCTTAGTAGGTAGAGGTGCTTTCTTCCAAGCCTGTTGATTTGTATTTGATCTCTGGAGCTCACCTGGTAGAAGGAGAGAATCATCTGCGACCCCCCGGGAAGGGACCCCCCGACCCGCGGGGGTGAGGTGATGAGGGTCGCTACTAATTTGGTGGGCCTTCACGAGCAGATCCGATCTGGAAAGTGAATTTCAAGAGGTTAATGGAATCAGGCTCAAGACAACGTTCGCTGATCAAGAGCCTTTATTTTTTTGGGGCGCGCTGGAACTTATAGAGGAAGGACCTCAGGGGGTGGTACAAGCATGTCAATCAAGTCTCAATTCAAATATACACCAAATACGGTAAAGACAAAGCTGTAATTTTCCATCAGTCATTAGTTGCATTCCACAAATGCTTGTCAGCATAAGTCAGGTGCAGGAATTAAGGAGGGGTAGGAAGTATTCAATGGAACACTTTAATCTTTTGTTAACAAAGACAATTACTCTGTAAGGGTACTTCCCCCTGGCTAGGCGGGTGGGCTGCCCTGTGTAAATTTAACTTTTATGGTTAGCCTTTTCCTTTGTCTCAAGGGCATGTGTGCTCACAGTCACGTAGGCAGAAGGCCAAGAAACGGTTGACAGACTCCATTTTGTTCAAGGTTCTAGCAGTCCCCGACAATCATCTATATTAATTTTATTCTAACCTCCACACACATGCACACCCCATAATAAGTCAATGTGAAAAGAAAAAAATTGTTAATTTTATTTTGACCCCAGATCTTTTTCTTTAAAAAAATCATTTATTTAAATTTATTTCATGTGCATTGATGTGAAGGTGTCAGATCCCCTGCAACTGGAGTTACAGACAGCTGTGAACTGCTATGTGGGTACTGGGAATTGGACCCAGGTGTCTGGAAGATCAGCCAGTGCTCTTAACTGCTGAGTGAGCCCTCCCTCCCTCTCCCTCCCTCCCTCCCTCCCTCTCCCTCCCTCCCTCCATCCCTTCCTCCCTCCCTCCCTTTCTCCCTTCCTCTCTCCCTCCCTCCCTTTCTCTCTCCCTGTCTCCCTCCCACCCTTTCTCCCTCCCTCCCTTTCTCTCCCCCTCCCTCCCTCCCTCCCTCCCTCCCTCCCTCCCTCCCTCCCTCCCTCCCTCCCTCCCTCTCTCTTTTGAGACAGGGTTTCTCTGTGTAGCTTTGGAACCTGTTCTGGCACTAGCTCTGTAGACCAGGCTGACCTCGAACTCAGAGATCTGCCTGCCTCTGCTTTCCAGTGCTGGGATTAAAGGCGTGTGCACAACCACTCGGCTGGACCCCAGATCTTTATGACTGCCAAATTATAAGTATATAATTGAATTTAATTATGTAATCAATCTGTTTAATTCTGTCTGCCTTATTTGCTTAGCATGTTTAATATTGGAATACTTAACATCCCATTTTGTTGTATAAATGTTTGTATGAGTATTTTTTAATGTTTTATTTTAGAAGTGAAAATGGACCTTGAGACAAAAGAGACAGAACTCCAGCTGGATACTTTTTGGTCTGATATATCAAATGAGACACAGCTGGCAAGATTAACAAAGGTATTTCTTTGTTTCCAAAGTCATAGAATATTTGAAATTCTGTGGTATGTCTATGCTTGAATAAAAGATGTTTGAGAGAAGTAGCCTTTGCCCATAGGGACTTGTTTTCTAGCATGAAGCTTTGTGCTTTAGAGTTGTCCCAAGAATGTTCTGTATAAATCTGAAAAAAATTTCAGTACTCATTCATCTCTCTATCAACAGGCAGGAAGTCACAATGGAGGAGAGCTCTTTGACTCTAAGAAAGTTGGAAAATTCTCCAGTGAACACCTATGCCTTCAGACACATATGAATATTCACAATACAAAAAAGATTTCTGAATATAATTGGTATAGAAAAGACTTATTTCCTTCAGTCAAGAAAATCTCTACTGAAGAGAAACTTTCTGTGTTGATCCAATGTGAAGAAGCCTTTGCTCTGATTCGAAGCATTCCTTACCAGAGGGCATGCATTCAGGACAGTTCTTCTGAATGCAGTGATTTTGGGAAAGCTTTTGATAATCAGTTTCAACTTAAGTTACACAGCAAAGATCACAGTAAAGAAAATTTCTATGAATGGGAGCAAAGTAAGAAAGCTTTTCCTGAGTCCAGAAATTGCTCTGCTTTAGAGAAATGCTATGAAGATAAGGAATGTGGAAAAGTCATCACTACACAAGCAGGCCTTACCACACATGTACGGAGTCACAAAAAGCAGAAGTCTTACGAGTGTACAGAGTGTGGGAAAGTGTTTGCTAAATGTTCAGGACTTATTGAGCATGTGAGAAGTCACACAGGAGAGAAGCCTTTTAAATGTGACCAGTGTGAAAAGGCTTTTGCCTCTTCCTCCTATCTTACTGCACACCTGAGAACTCACACTGGAGAGAAGCCCTTTGAGTGTACGGTGTGTGGGAAGGCTTTTACACGTTCCTCCTACCTTCGGATTCACATGCGAACTCACACTGGAGAGAAGCCCTACAAGTGTAAGGAGTGTGGGAAAATGTTTGCTGTGCGCTCATGCCTTAATACACATTCACGAACTCACACTGGGGAGAAGCCTTACGATTGTAAGGAATGTGAGAAGGCATTTACTAGCTTTTATCAACTAACCGAACATATGAAAATTCACACTGGTGAGAAACCCTTTGAATGTCAAGTGTGTACAAAATCGTTTAGGAATTCCTCATGCCTTAAGAAGCACTTCCAAATTCACACTGGAATAAAGCCATTTCAGTGTAAGGACTGTGGGAAAGCCTTCAGTGGACGGACTAGCTTTACCACACATGTATTGACTCATACTGGGGAGAAGCCATATGAGTGTAAGGAGTGTGGGAAGGCGTTCAGAACATCCTCAGGCCTTATTGAACACATAAGAAGTCACACGGGAGAGAAACCCTTTGAATGCTATCAATGTGGAAAGGCCTTTGCCTCTTCCTCGTATCTAACTGCACACTTGAGAACTCACACTGGAGAGAAGCCCTTTGAGTGTACAGTGTGCGGGAAAGCGTTTACACGTTCCTCTTACCTTTGCAGACATATGAAAACTCACACTGGAGAGAAACCCTGCGTGTGTAAGGATTGTGGGAACACCTTCAGTGGATGCTCATGCCTTAGCAGACACATAAAAATGCACAGTGGGGAGAAGCTCTACCTGTATTAGCAATGTGGGAGAACAGTCATTAGCTTTTCTTAACTCAGCATACTCATGCTGGTAGGAAGCCTTTTGAATATAAGACATGTACAAAATCTTTTAGGAATTTGCATGCCTTAAGATGCACTTCTGAATTCACACTGTATTAAAATCATATCAAAGTAAGGATTGTGGAAAAGCCTTGGTAGCCACACTAGCTTTACTGCGCATGTACTAACTCACATTGGGGGAAAAGTCATATGAATGCAGAGGATGTCATAATGCCTTCATTCCTTCCTCACATCTGTAACACAGGAAAGAAACCCCTTGACCAGTGTGGGAAAGCATGTTTCCTCCTCATCTCTTAATGTACATTTGAGAACTCACACTGGAGAGAAACCCTTTGAGTGTCTAGGATGTGGCAAAGCGTTTAGGCATCCTTCCAACTTTTGTAGTCACATGAGTGTGCACCCTGGAGAACTGCCCAATGTATGTAAGAACTCTGGGAAAGCCTTTACTGAGCACTTAGCCCTTAATAAACACTTAAGAACACATACTGTATAGAAACCCTATGTTTATTAGGACCTGAGAAAGTTTCCGCTGTTCATACATACTTCAGGGGATGTAAACTGTAAATAGAAAGAATATGAGAAAGGCTTCACTTTTATTCTGATCATGTGGGACATAAACAATCACAGAGTGATGCCCATGTAAAGAATGAGAAAAGTCCATTAAGAAGTATTCACATTGTTGAGCTTAGCACAGGTAGTCAGTTGTCCCAGAAATGGCTTAACAGATTTACTCACATCAGTATATAATAACCATCTATAGCTCTAGCTCTAGGGAGAGCTGATGGCTCTGGGCTCTGTGGACACTTGCACTTGCAAGTGCCTCACACACAGACATACACATCATTAAAAATAAATCTTAAAATCCATAAGGACCTTACACTCAAGATGCCCCATGAATGTGATGAGCTAGAAAAGTAATTGGAGTCTACGTACAATCTGGCAAGGAGGAGACCATACAGTGTAACATGGAAACTTTTTTTATTTTCTCAGGTTTTGCTAAGTATGTGAACAGTTACAATAGAGAAAATACTATTGATATGATATGTGTAGCAGTTATATGCCTGCTAAATAATTTAATGTTCACCTGTGATCTCACAGTAGAGAATAACTTCAAGAAAAGAAATACTAGACCTAAAAAATGTATTCCATTACCTTTGTTAAATGTGATTCACACTGAATACAAATTACATGTATGGATTATGGCAAATGTTTCCATATGTTCTCAGATCTCACGTGTTTACAGAGCCATGGATTTTAGGTGACTCTATAGATGTACTTGTGATGGTTTGAATGCTTCAGTGTATGTGTACTAATGATTTGTGTTGTGTTAGCTTTGGGGGGGCAGTCAGAATAACAGTTATTTGCCCTATGTAGGACAGTGACAACAGATCACAGAAATTATTCCATCCAAATAGAGCTTTGTGAGTCACTGAACTTATTGTAGGTTACTTATAGGAGCAAATGTTAGGGGTTTCTGGTGGTTTTGAGTAAGAATGGTCCATATGTGCATGTATCTGAATGCTTAGTCACCAGTGAGTGGCGCTATTTGAGAAGGATTAGAAGGTGTGGCCTTGTTGGAGGATGTGTTGTGGGTAGGCTTTGAGATTTCAAAAGCCTGAGCCAGACCCAGTTTCACTCTGCTTATGGATCAGGATATACCACACTCAGCTACTTCTCCAACACCATGTCTGTCTGCATACTGCCATGCTTCCTGCCAAATGATAATGGACTAATCTCTGAAACTATGAGCCAGCCCCCAATTAAATGCTTTTATAAGTGTTGTCTTGGTTGTGATGTTTCTTCACAGCAATAGAATAGTGATTTAGGATTATATTCAGGAGCATAATTCAAAGGCAGTTGTGCCACTTGAAAAGCCCACCCTGGAATTGGTGATGCATTCTTTTTTTATTCTTTAAAAATATTTGTTTTTCATTTTACACCCCAACCCTAGTTCCCCCTCCCTCATTTGCTCCCTCCCCTACCTTCCCCACACACTATCTACTCCTCAGAAGGGGTAAGGCCTTCCTTTCGGAGTCAACAAAGTCTGGCATACCAAGTGGTAGCAGGACCAAGTCCCTGCCCACTGTATCAAAGCTGAGTAGGGTATCCCACCGTAGGGAGTGAGCTAATGTCCCTTGGATATGTCCTGGTGTGATTGTCAGCCTCCCCAACAGATCAAATCACATAACTGTCACCCACATTTAGAGGGTGTAGTTCAGTCCCTTGCAGGTTCCTCAGCTGTCAATCCAAAGTCTGAGTTCCCTCCAGCTTGGGTCAGCTGTCTCTGGTTTTCCCCATCATGGTCTTGACCCCCCCTTATTCATATGATCCCTCCTCCTCTCCAGCTGAAGTCCAAGAGCTTAGCCCAGTGCTTGGTTATGGGTCACTGCCTCTATCAGTTTCTGGATGTAGGTTCTATGATGACAATTAAGGGTAGTCACTAATCTGATTAAAGGGGAAGGCCCATTCAGACATCTTTGCTATTACTAGGAGTCTTAACAGGGGTCATCCTTGTGGATTCCTGACAATTTATCTAGCACTAGGTTTCTCCCTAACCCCATAATGGCTCAGGGTAACTGTAGCTTCATAAAAAGAGTTTGGCAATGTTCCTTCTACTTTCATTATGTGGAAGAGTTTGAGGAGTATTGGTATTAGCTCTTTGAACATCTGGTAGAATTCTCTGCTGAAACCATCTGGGCCTGGGCTTTTTTTGGTTGGGAGACTGTTTCTATTTCCTTAGGGATTATAGGTGTATTTATGTTGCTTTTCTATTTTTGATTTAAAATTGGTCATCTCCTTAAAGTTTCTAATTTTGTAGAGTACAGGTTTTTGAAGTATGACATGATGATTGTCTAGATTTCCTCAGTGTCAGTTGTTATGTCCCTCTTTTTGTTTCAGATTTTTAAAATTTGGGTATCATCTTGCTGTCTTTTGGTTAGTTTGGATACAGGGTCATCTATTTTTTTTTTAATATCTCGAAGAACCAACTCTTTGTCTCATTATTTGTATTGTTTTCTTTGTTTCTATTTTATTGATTTCAGGCCTCAATTTGATTATTTCTTACCATCTACTCCTGGGTGAGTTTGCTTTTTGTTCTAGCACTTTCGTTGTTCTGTTAATTCACTAGTGTGGATTTTTTTCCAGCTCCTTTATGTAGGCATTTAGTGCTATGAACTTTCCTCTTAGCACTGCTTTCATTGTTTTCCATAAGTTTGGGTATGCTCTGTGGTTGTTTTCAGTAAATTTTAGGAAATCTTTAATTTCTTTCTTTATTTCTTCCTTGACCCAGTGGTGATTCATTGTTCAATTTTCATGTGTTTGTGGGCTTTCTGAAATGGATAGTGCTGTTGAATTCTAACTTTAAGCTGTGGTGATCCAATAGGATTAGTGGGGTTATTTCAATTTTTTTGTATCTTTTGAGTCTTGCTTTGTTACTAAGTAATATGGTCTATATTTGAGAAGGTTCCATGAGGTACTGGGAAGAAAGTATATTCTTTTGTGTTTGGTGGTAAGTTCAGTTGAGTCATAGCATCTGTTAGTTCTCTTATTTCTCTGTTAAGTTTCTCTCTGGCAGACTGGTCCAGTGGTGAGAGCAGAGTGTTGAAATCTCCCACTATCAGTGTGTGGGGCTTGATGTGTGATTTCAACTTTAGTAATGTTTCTTTTACAAATGAGAGTGCCCTTGTATTTGGGGCATAGATGCTCCAAATTGAGGCTTCATCTTGTTGGATTTTTCCTGTGATGAATATGAAATGACATTCTTAATCTCTTTTAACTAATTTCAGTTTGAAGTCTATTTTGTTAGATATTAGGGTAGCTACACAAGCTTGCTTCTTAGGTCTAGTTGATTGGGAAAATTTTTCCCAACCATTTACTCTGAGGTAATGCCTGTCTGTGAGTGTAGGACACATGAGCCCGTCAAAAATGGTGCTGAGGGGAAGTCAGATGGGCGCGTCCTGAGTTGTTTACAAAAAAAAAGATGATTGGTTGCCTAGATCGAACCAGATGAGGTCACTGCATCAACAGCTCATATTCACTAGGTAAAGTGTAGGGCACCTAGGCAAGTGATAGGCTGATATTTAAAATCATTGGCTGGCTGTTTTTCTGCTCTGTGGTTTTTTTTTTTTTTCCTTTAAAAGACACTTACTGTGGGACAATAAACGAGTTCCTGCTTGACTAGACTCCCTTCTGCGTCTGTCTCTGGGTGAGGCACACTTACTCTTCCTCAGACCCAGCTCAACCTTCTGTGGTTGGGCTAAAACCCTGCATCTGTCACCCAAACCTGGGGCACAAAGGGCCTAAACTCGGCTGAGGCCAAGCAATCTCTTAGGGTAAGTGAGACCCTCAGTATGGGTATCTCTATTTTCAGTAAGAAGGGAGAAGGAAAAGTACCCGGGAGGTTTGCCAAAGATGAAGCAGAGGAGGAATGGGCTGAACCATGCATCCCAGATAATTCCAGACCCCTGCCTTTCGCTCCCAGGAGCAAGGAGGCTAGGCTCCCCTATACTGCCCTCAGGGCAAATCTGCAGGACCTGGACACCAATGATCGACTGGACAAAGGCAGGTCAAGACCTAGATGCCCTGTTTATGTGGAGGTCTACCCAATCAAGGAGAGATAGGAGGATGCAACTAGGGCCCCCCAAGCCTTCCTGTAAACTTGGCCCCCGGGTCAGGCAGGCCTCTAGACTGGTGTCCTAGGGAGGCTAAGGATCTTTTTTTTCCAATATATTTTTAATTTAAATTAGAAACATGCTTGCTTCACATGTCAATCCAGCTCCCTCTCCTACCCTCCTCCTTTGCCCCTCTACTATCCCCCCAACCCCTCCAATTCCCACACAATTCACCAGGGAGGGTGAGGCTCTCCATGGGGGATCTCTAGAGTCTGTCACTTCATCTGGGACAGGGCATAGGCCCTCCCCCATGTATCCAGGCTGAAAAGGATCCCTCCATATGGAATAGGCTCCCAAAGTTCATTTGTACGCCATGGTAAACACTGCTCTACTACCCAAGGCCCCAGAGATTGCCGAGGGGAGGCCAAGGATCTTAAAGAGCTCTGCAAGGCTGTGATGGAAGATGGCTGTAATTCCCTTTGGGCACAGACCCTGTTGCAGGACATGGCCTATCATCCATTCATCCTTAAGGCCTGACTGGATGTAGCTAAGGCTAGTTCTCAGTTTATCAAATGGTGTGCCTTTTTAAAGGAGGAATGTAGGGCACGAGCTGAGGCAAATAGGCAAGATAACCCTGCCATCTCTATTACCTATGCTATGCTGTTGGGAATGGGAGACAGTTACTCCACTAGGGTTCAGCAGGGATCCCTGGGCCGAATCAGGATCAGGTGAGGCAGGCTAGGTTGAATGCCTGGGCTAAACTGGATGATGGGCCTACTGAGTCCCCCATGGCTGGGGTGAGGCAGGTCTGGCGAGCCCTTGCCAAAGTTTATGGACCCACAACAGAGCGTTCAGTGCAAGCTGCCGCCTGAAGACCTCAGAGAACAATTTATCAGACTATTGGTATGGGAAAGGATGAATGGGGATGATAGAATGGCCTGTGTGGGATTAAAAGACAGTTTCTTGAGCAGATGGGTGGTAGCCTCCCAAGATGTAGGTACCCAACAACACCAATCCTAGTCTCTGGCCCTGGCCTTACAGGCACAGATGACCGCCATGATGGAGGCCATCACCCAGGCCCTGACAACCAGGGTCAAGGGTTCTCGAGGCCACCTGGAAAAGGGACATGCTTTATATGTGGGAAGGAGGGACATTTTAAAAGATACTGTCCTCAACATCCTCCCCCCACTAACAGGCCAGGAGGGGTTAAGCCCCCCTCCACTCTATTCCCTTGGTGCAGGAAGGTATACACCATTGTAAGAAGGACTGTAGATCAAAATTTGACCTGGAGGGGAAGTCTTTAAACTAGAGGAGGGGCAGCCTCCAGCCCCGTTAAAAAAGGGAGGAAGCCTCTCAAAATGTAGGAAGGTCTCATGCTCTGAAAACACAAGCACACTGGACTGTCCCCTTGATTAAAGGACTTCATTCAAAAATGACTGTTTTTTATAGGCTTTAAGGAATTTCAGTTTGGTAGACACAGGAGCAGACAGGACAGTGCTCCAGGAGAAGGAAGTGCCTTCCACTTGGGATCTTGCACCTGGGCCCTCAGATTTGGAGGTGGAAGGTGACTCCTAATCAAGAGAAACAATGACCTTAATGTGCTGGACCAGCCTAGATAGGGACCAAGGAAAGATACGCCCCTTAGTGGTCAAAAGCCTTACTGCCAGCTTGCTGGGACAGGACATGCTGGGCCAAATGGATGCTGTTGTGACCACAGATCATTGGGCTTTTTATGAGGAAGAGAAAGAGACACAAAGGGTGGGAGAAGACCTAAAGGGAGTCACAGAGAAGGATTTTTCAACCTCCACAACTACAGGGGGAACATGGGAGGTGTATCTGGGCACACCCCCAATCATGAGGGCCACTGCCCCCCACGTGCTGCCTATCAGAGGGGTACCAGGAAAACCTGTATGGGTGGAGCAATGGCCGCTGATTAAACCTAAGCTGCTAGCACTCCCATAAGGTAGGGATGAACAATTAAGACTGGGACATATCCGCCATTCTATGAGCCTATGGAACAACCTGGTGTTTGTAATTCAAAAGGCATCCGGGTCTTGGCACATGCTCCAAGATTTGTATAAGATAAATGAGAGGATGGAACTAGCAGGCAACTTCCTAAGGGGCATGCCCTGGACTCCTGCTATTCCCACAGAATATACATTTATGATAATTGATATTAAAGATTGCTTCTTTTATAAATTTGCCTTCTCTGTTCCTTCACTTAATTATTCCAAACCTGATCAAGTTTTTGAGTGGGCAGTGCTACCACAGGGAATGACTAATAGCCTGGCTTTCTGTCAACAGTATCTTGCTACTTTCTTAAGGTCTATGCTTAAGTCAAAGGATTTAATAATATATGCTTATATGTATGATTTAATTTTGGGGCATCGGGATCCAGCATATCTGGAGGGCTTTGCGACACAGGTACTACGATTGCTTAAAAAAAAGAGCTTTACTGTTGTCCCAGAAATGATCCAAAAGGTGCCCCCCTTCAAAATACTTGGGTCACACCTCATGCTGACACAGGCTAGCCCGGTTAAGCCTGTTCTGGAGGTGCCTGAATCTATGACCCTGACCCAGCTCCAGCGCTTACTGGGGGAGATTAATTGGCTGAGACCATGGGTGTCAATCCCCACAGAAGACCTGGTACCCCTATATGCCCTGCTAAAGGACAAGTGACCTCATGATAATATAACTATGGCAAAGGAACACTGTGAGATGCTCCTTATATTTCAAAAGACCTCTCTAAGGATTTGATGACTAAGCCCTTGTCCCTCTGGCTGTTTGCTGGAGCCTCTCTAATTACAGTGGTTCTGATAGGATGGGGAGCTGTTAGAATGGATCTATATATTTTTGGGAGGAATACCCCAGTGGGATGAATACCCCCGTCTACTGTTAGGCAGATCAGGTTGCTGATTGCATCATAAAGGACAGTGACACTATGTGCTAGACCCCCATACCATTGTCTTCCCCTTCTGGGTTGTCGCACCTGCTGTGCAGCCTGCATCCGAGAATGTAGCGAGGTGGACGAGATAGATGACACAGAGACCGGTGGGTTGCTTTTAGAAAACTTTATGCTCCCCAAGTCGGCTTAGAGAACTCCCCAAGATGGCTTAGAGAACTTCCCAAGAAAAAAACGCTTCCCTTTTTAAAGAATTCTGCCATCCATCTACATACAATTCTCCAACCGAGCTCTCACATACCTCTCACAGCTCTCCCAGACTTCTCACCCTCCTGGCTGGTGGTTTAATCTCCGGTCCCAGAATCGGGGAGAAACCGCAGGGAGCAGGAAGAAGCATCTAGCCTCAGTGAGGGAGCCCTTATCTGAGCCCTATCAAGAGCTTTATAGCACTGAATTGTTTTCAGTAAACATTATCTCACAGTTGCCTGCTCCCAGGACGAAGGGGAAGTGGGTTTCTGCTCAAGGTCTGGTGTCCCCACATGGGTGGCGAATGTTGAATGGCTTGCTCAGGCTAACTCTCAGATTAGAAGGATTTATGGGGAGTATTGATTGATTGCCTCTATGGGTCGTGCAAATGGACTCCTCTTTTTCAGAGAGATAGTTCACACCTGCAGATCATGTCCCCCTCTATAGCTGCCAGGAGTTAACACTAGATGTCTACAGTCCAATATCCTCTGGTAAACTGATGTTGCTCATTTTCTAGCTTTTGACAAACAGAAGTATGTTTTTGTCTCCACAGACACTTATTCAGGGGGTTGTTGGGCCACTGCACATACAGGAGAAAAAAACCAAACTTGCTCAATGACATTTCCTCCAATGTTTTACAACCCTAGGATTACCCAACCAGGTTAAGACTGATAATGGCCATTGCTTTGCCAGTAATTCCATGGCATAATTTTTCAATAAATGGCACATCAAACATATTACAGGAATTGTGGAAAGAAGCCATCAATATCTTAAAAACTTTTAAAACAAAAAGGGGGAATCAGCCCCCATTTACAACTAGGAATGATTGAATTTACTATTAATATTTCATTTTTTAAGGGAGCAACTGAATCTAAGTTCCAAAAACATTGGAGCCACCTAAACGCCAAACCCCATGTTAATGACAAATGAAAGACCTTCTAACATCCCAATGGGATGTGAATGTTAATTACAATGGGAAGAGGATTTGGTTGTGTCTAACCCTTAGGGGAAAAAGCACCCATCTGGCTTCCAGCCAGAAATCTAAAATTCCTGCCTGTTCTCACAATGCAGGAGGATGACCAAGAACAGGTTGACCAACAAGGAGAGGAAGTGACAATGGTGGTCAAGGCTCATCTCCCGAAATAAGAGGACCAATACAATGATAGATACCTAACCATGTCCAAGGACATTGGATCCTTGAGAAACTCCTTTGTTCTTTAAAAATTACAGATGATGTCCCACTTCCTGAATGCTCTGATTCTCCTGTTACTGATGCTGACTGCTCCAGTGATCACCCAGCAGAATCCTCATCATCTCATAAAGATGACGTGGATGGTGATGGATACCGCCAATGGAGATGTCCTCAACAGCACCACGAATGAGGCAGTCCCCCAGACCTGATGGCCCACGTTCTTCTTCAACCTCTGTGACCTGGCTGTGATCTTGAGATGTGGGAGACTGGACCTTTCTTCATCAAGAATGGTCTGGATCAGCCCTTTCAAGCCCCAAACCCCAGCAAGTCCAGCTTCAGGTGAGATTGGGTCTCCGGCAGGACCCCCTGCCCAACACCCATCCCCTTGATCTTCCAGGCCGCTCCTGGCATCCAGAAGACCCACCCACACAGGAAAGACATCAGCCCTTCCAAGACCCCAACCCCAGCGAGTCCAGCTTCAGGAAAGACATCAGCCCTTCCAGGCCCCAAACTCCGTGTCAGCATCCCCAGCTTCAGCTGCAGGAAGGAAGGAGACCAGTGGAGACGGAAAGACCCCACCAGCACCCACTGGAAGAAGAGATGGGAAGAAGACAGAATAAGAGCTCACTCAGCAATAGAAACACCAACATGACCCCACCAGAATCTAGGGATCCAACACCAGCAAGACCCGAAAAGCACTACATAGACAAAGAAGAGGAGACAGACCTTAAAAATTATTTCATGAAGATGATGGAGACCCTCAAAGAAGAAACGAGGAAACCCCTTAAAGAAATAGAAGAAAAAACAAACAAAAAATCCATGAAATGGGGGGAAAATTCAAGAAATAAACAAATCTCTCAAAGAATCTAAAGAGCACCAAGAAAAAACAACCAAAAAAAAATGAAGTAAACAACTCAAACAGTTGAAGGATTGAAAGCTGAAATAGAAACAATAAAGAAAACACAGAATGAAGGGATGCTGGAAATAGAAAAGCTGGGTAAATGATCAGGAACTACAGATGCAAGTATCACCAATAGAATACAAGAGATAGAAGAGAGAATCTCAGGTGTTGAATCTCATTAGAGGATATAGAGTCGTCAACCAAAGAAAATCTCAAAACCAACAAATCCTTAACACAAAATATCCAGGAAATATGGGACACCGTGAAGAAGCCAAACCTGAGAATAATAGGTATAGAACAAGGTGAAGAAATACAACTCAAAGGTACAGAAAACATATCCAACAAAATCATAGAAGAAAACTTCCCTAACCTAAAGAAAGATATGCCTATGAAATACAAGAATCTTACAGAACACCAAACAGGCTGGACCAGAAAAAGAAGTCACCTCGCCATATAATAATCAAAACATCAAACCTACAGAGTAAAG